TCACACTGTGTCACACTGCCGTTTAACTCTCCGACGAACGAAACCGGGGCGTTTGACAAGTGTTATTAAGGATTCGAAAGGCTTTGTACAGCATCGAGGCTTGTATTTTTAATGTGCAAGTATGCTTATGGACTGTAAGGTATTAACTAGACAGGTATAATATATGAATATGCTGCAGGAAAGATTATACATCAGTAAATCATGAGTTCACTTCTTACCTACTTATGGCCAACTTTTTCGCACAACACAGTGGGACGTCATGTCAAGACAACAAAAGTGAACACTACTTTTTTCAGTAGATCTCTTGCCTCAAATTCAACTTTTTCTCAACTTTTAACAACTTATTTTATGAGACCTATGTGAAACAGCACATTAAAAACTACCTGAATTGAAAATAAGTAGTCCAAAAGTGGGAAAAGTAGAGGCAAAAAGCATCTAGAAAGCAGTTCAAAAGCGCAAAAAATAGACAAAAAGTAATCTAGTGTCATATGCCATTCCGGACCCTCAGCTCTAAATCCGCTTCTCTGGACATCCGTATCTGAGATCTGGATCTCCAATAATCTGATCTATCTTTATCTCCCTTCCGGAATCCAAACACTATATCAGTGCCCAACCCCATTTAGACTTCCCCTGTCTCTGGACTCTGGTTAACTATGTTTCCCTTTTGATTATTGATCTGTTACATACATTTCATTTCCGATATGCATTATTTGTGATCCGTCCTACTTACTAATAGACTTTGCATAGGCTTCATACATAGCCTTTGTGTTTGCTGACTGATTCCTATATGATACCTACAGTATATAGACCTCCTGTGACTCTTGGAAATACTTCAGTTTGAATATCATCTTAGTTCCTGCTCATTCCTGTGTGCTCCGGACTTGAGCCAAGTCTCTTGTCACATTCTGAGTCTTAGGATTGCATCCTAGACTACATCTCTGGCTCTACCTTAGGGTAGTCTATCCCCTGTTAGTTTCTAGTCTGGACTTCGTCCAGATTAGCCTTATCTGCTTGTCCAAGTAACATCTGGACTGTCATATCTGCATATCTGGATCTCAGATCCGACCCTTATCTCATCTCAGATCCACATCTTATCTCCCTCCAACATCTCATCATTGTTAAGGTTGTACTCAAAGGGTAACTGGATCTGAAGGGCTTCGGCCTCAGCTCATACGCTGTGCCCCTTACCCGAGTATTGCCCCTTATTTCAGGAAGGCAAGCCTAGCGCATCTGGAAAGTCAGACGATAGCGTAACGGATCCGGATGACTTCCAGATGAGGGGTAAGTATTGTATGGCTAATCCGGATGAGTCCAGACTAGAAACTAACAGTAGTGGACTGTCGGGGACAGAGGCGGATACAGATAGACTATAGGAATCAATCCTAAGTCTCGGAGAGTGATGAGAGTAGAGGTACTCAAGTCCAGAGGATAGGAATGAGCAGAACTAAGATGATATTCGAACTGAGGTACTACAGAAAGTTGCAGGAGGTTATATACTATAGGTATCTAATGGAATGATCAATCAGCAGAGTCCGAGGCTATGTACGAAGCATGTGGATAGTCTATTGGTAAGTAGAAACGGATCACAAATCATGAAATGGAAATGAAACATAGGTAGCGGATAAGGGAGCAGGACGGATATACAGATAACCGAAATACCGGAGTTAGGGGGTTACCAAAAAGAGACGAGTGCTGGTTGTGGATTTGGATGAGTTGTGGAACGGACCGGATGAGTGGACAGATTGAATGATGAGATGTTGGAGGGGGATAAGATGTGGATAGCATCGGAGATAAGATGTGGATCTGAGATAAGGGTCGGATCTGAGATCCAGATATGCGGATATGACAGTCATTCAATCTGTCCACTTGTCTGGTCTGGTCCACAACTTATCTGAATCCACAACCAGTGCTCATCTCCTTTCAGTAACCCCCTAACTCCAGTGTTTCGGTTATCTGTATATCCGTCCTGCTCCCTGATCCATTACCTATGTTTCATTTCCGTTTCATGATTTGTGATCCGTTTCTACTTACCAATAGACTATCCACATGCTTCATACATAGCCTCGGACTCTGCTGATTGATCATTCTGTTAGATACCTATAGTGTATAACCTCCTGTAACTTTCTGTAGTGTTACAACTGCATTTGCCCCTATTCATTTTCCTTTCCTTTTCACCTGTATTATGTCATGAGCCTCACTTTGCTGCTGCTAGACTATCTCTGACTCATTCTGTATTACATCATGATTGCTGCTGCTGTTGTTAGATGACCCACTCTTATCTCTGACTCGTTCTTATCTCTGACTCGTTCTTATCTCTGACTCATTGGTTGACTCATGCCTGCCCTGAATCATCTACAGTTCCCTATATATAGTCAATGATGTACTCAGCAGTACTTCACTTTAATCCTACTAGGTTTTCACCTGAACATTCTTTTGCTTAGGACCCCCAATCCTAAGTCGTCTAAGACAGATATTCAAAGCAGAGACACTCTCTTTGCTTTGTCTTACGACCCTTACATTTGTAAGGTCTTGACTCAACTTTAGCTGTTACTCTTATCGAGTAGCTATTGTTGCGACTATCCTAGTTCGTAACAAAGGATTAAAGTCCTACTCTGACCCTCTCCATCAGGGAGGTCCCAGAAAACCAGAACTCAGAAATCAGAAATAAATGGAGAGAAACATAACATTCCCCATCTTATGACCCTTACATTTGTAAGGTCTTGACTCAACTTTAGCCATTACTCTTATCGAGTAGCTATTGTTGCGACTATCCTAGTTCGTAACATGTAGTACCTCAGTTCAAATATCATCTTAGTTCTACTCATTCCTGTCCTCCAGACTTGAGTATCTCTACTCTCGTCACCCTCCAAGACTTAGGATTGATTCCTATAGTCTATCCGTATCTGCCTCTGTCTCCAACAGTCTATTACCGTTAGTTTCTAGTCTGGACTCATCTGGATCTGTTATGATACTCATCCAACCTTCCGGATGTGTTAGTCTTGCCTTCCTGAAATAAGGGGCAATACTTGAGTAAGGGGCACAGCACATGAGCTGAGGCCGAAGCCCTTCAGATTCAGTTATCCCTTGAGTATGACCTTAACATGGATGTCCGTTATCTGCCCTAGTCAAATCCTGGAAACTCCGGACAACTATTCTAGCCCCCGGAAATTAAGGGCACATACTCGGGAAAGGGGCACAGCATACGAGCTGAGGCCAAGCCTGTTAAGATCATGTTGCTCAAAGGAGAGAGAGACTGACTCAGAGGGGCTTGGCCTCAGCTCATATGCTGTGCCCCTTACCTGAGTATGGGCCCTTCATTTCAGATGAGGTCCAATGATGGTCCAACAAAGTCCAAAGGACTTCCAGAGGCTGGCTACTCTGGTGGAGAGTGCTAGAGGACTTCTGGAGGAGTGCAGGAAACGTCCAGAGGAGTGTGGGAGAGTTCCAGAGGAATGCAGGAAGTGCTCAGGAGAGTTCCCACTGCGAGGTAATACTTCTACAGGAAACAGGATGGAAGGATAGGAGGTCCAAAGGTCCAGAGGACAGGAGGACAGGATGTCCAAAGGTACGGAGGGCGGAACATCTGAAGGACAGGAGGATAGGATGTCCAAGGGTTAGGAGGATGGAATGTCCGAAGGTACAGAGGGTGGAATGTCCGAGGGTTAGGAGGATGGAACATCTGAAGGACAGGACATCCAGAGGTCTGGAAGGAGTAGGGGCTACATTGGATGAAGTCTGATGTAGAAGCAAACAGAGGTAGACTACCCTTAGGTAGAGTTGGAGAGACAGGAAGTGGACCAAAGTCCAAAAAGAGGGTAAGTGCTGGAAAGGCAAGACTCCAGCCTAGGGAAGCAATCCCTAGACTTGGGACAGAGACATAGGGGACAAATCCAAAGGTCCAGAATTCTGGCCTAGGGAATCCATCCCTAGGCCTTATGGAAAAGGACAAACTCAGATGGACTGAAGTCCGGAAGAAGATTGGGCAGATAGAACAGGATCTAAGATGATATTCAAACTAAGGAAACTGCAGGAGTATCTACAGGGGTTATATACTGGACAATATCTGAGGGGATCAGTAAGCAAAGGAGCAAGGCTATGTACAAGCATGTGGAAACACATTAGTAAGTAAGACGGAACATAACTAAATGAACTCAGAGATGAAGACTCATACAAGGATCAATAAGCAAGATGGAACAAGAGGTAACTGAAAGCCAGAAAGGCAGAGATGCCTAAATGGGGATAGGTGCAGGATATCAGACAGAGGGTGGGAATAGGTCCGGAGATCTGGGGATCCAGAAGACAAGGTGGATACAGGACCAGGGTATGAGAAGGTGGATATAGTCCAGAATCCAAGATGAGGTGAAGTCTGGATGTCTTGCTGGATGGAGTGTGCATAAGGTGGATGGGACAGGGGGGTATGGATCAGGCTAGCAGTGGAGATCCAATGGTCCAGAGCTCAGGGGTAAATCTGGAGCATAGTCAATCCTGCTGAGGTGTGGAGCACACAGCAGAAGGGGATCTGGGAATGAGTTGGATATGAAGTGGGGTCCGGATGTAGGCTCAGAAGGCATGGGAATATGATGGAATGTGGGTCCAGATTGTGGGATATGACAGAGGACCTGCTATTCACTCTGTGCAAACTGATGCAGAAGAGCCCCATATTGGCTCAGACTCACAAGAACCTAGCATGCCAAAAAGTGCCAGTGCACCTGATGCTGATGTTATTGCTGACTCTGAGGACAATGACACACCAACATCTGTCCTTGCACATGTTGAACTCACATGAACATCTCATATGCCATTTGTTCATCTGCTCAATCTTAATATGCTTACTATTGATTCAAATAGAGGGGACAAAGCAGGCACAAAGTGTCCATGCACTTGCTAACAAGCTTGATATCCCCCATTTGGCTGATCTTGTCTTGCAATTCCTTGCCAGACAATTATATCTGGACATGGACCCTACTGAAGTGCCTGACAGTCTCATGGACTGCGCTCATTTTAATGGGAAGATACAGGTCTTTAATTCTGCAGTATCAGTGTTCTTTGCACTGAGCGATTTGAGTGGGATTGGTGGGATGAAACACGAATACATTCGTGTGTCTCCCAAGTGGAGAAGTGGGCATGCATGCAAAGATTGCATGTTTGTCATTACTGACCCAAATGCTCATGGAATGCAGGGTATGGACATTGCTCAGGTACTCACTTTTTTTTCTTTTCAACTTAGGGGTGTATACTATCCATGTGCAGTTGTCCACTGGTTCAACTGAGTCAGAAATACACCAGATGATGACACCGGAATGTGGATGGTGGAACCTTCTTCTGTTGATCAGCACACACATTTTGTGGTTATCCATGTAGATACTATTTTTGTTCTGCTCACCTTATTCCTGTCTATGGTACTGATATGCTCCCCTTGGTGATTAAATCCCACCATGTTCTCGACATATTCACCCTTTTCTACATCAACAAGTATGCTGACCATCACGCCTTCGAAATAGCATGTTAGCATAACTCACTTTTTTCTCTTACCTTGTTTACTTCTTCTTTGTAACTCACTTTTTGACTTGGTCACTTTTTTACAGCTTTTCCACTTATTATATGCTTGTTACTTAATTTCAAAGCATGAGCTTTTCATGTCCAAACAGATAGTGGGAAAAAGTGACGATCTGTAATGATCCACATAAATAAGTGCAAAAAAGCTAGAAAACTAAACTCATGATTTACTGATGTAGAGAGGGTGACTGGTGTTGACTAGTGGCGGTCAGGTAAGCTGAAAAATAATGTGTGCTGGAACTGGACAGTATATGATTACTATCTAAGTATGGATTAAATGTGTTAGTATGGTAGGGGGAAGAGTAAGTGGGAGGTATGCTTGGGAGAATACTGCAAGAGGATGAAGCAAACAGCACTTCACAGGATGGTCCTGCATGTGATGAAGTAGTAATGGAAGGAGTGATATCGAGATGAGGGCATGTGGTAGGGGGGACATTCTGATCAGTTTCATTAGAAGGGCCTTCATGGAAGGTCCATTTTTGTCCAGTGCAAGAGCAGCTGGCAAAAAGGCCTACAAAGCATTCATTAGTCTTGAGTTCTGGATGTGACTTGAAGTATTCTTTGATGGCTTTCAAGAGCTCTGGTTTGGTCCCTGCAGTAGAAATTTGGAGGGCGCCTGCAATATCAATAAGATCATCCTTGTTCTTGGTGGAAAAGGAGCCTGTAAAACATGCCACTGCACCAGCACCCTGCACTGCTGCCTGTTGTGCTGCCTGTGCTGCCTTTCTGGCCACAGCATGTTCCTTCACTTCCTCCTTCTTCTTCCGAGCTGCTCCTTTCACCATCTCTTACTCCTCACATTTTTTGAGTCCTTGAGCTGACATTAACCAGTGTGCATTGATATTGAGGGCATGAGTCTTTTTCTTTCCAGCATGTGAATTTAATTTCTTCCTCATACTGTAGCATTAACCTTGCTTAATGCCATTGTGCAGCACAGACCTTTGATTCTGTGGCATGGACCTGTGATTCCAGTTCCCTCACTTGGTCCTGAAGGACAGAGATGTCAGAGTCTTGAGACATGTTGCACTGATGGCAGCTGTGTAGTGGCAGTTGTGGGCAAGAGTTTGGAGTGTTGAAGGAAGGGAAGGACATAGTATGGTGTGTGGGCAGTGCAAAGGAGGTTCCAGTTGAGTTGATTGGACTGTCCTCATCTTTGTTCTCATCATCAGTACTGTTGGCATCATCCACATCATCCTCAGAGCTTGAGTCTATGCTTGAGCTACTATCTGATTCAGTTTCTGGGTCATTCTGCAGAGTGTCAGCATCTATGTTTGGAGGATGCACTGGAAGCTGACTTGGCTGTATGGGGTAGGAGGCAGGGACACTAGCTTCAGTGGATGTGCCCATGCTTGGGGCAAAATCATGGTTGGTGAAAATACTGGGATTAAATGGCTGAATACCACTGTTCTTCCACACCTTTAAAATGATCTCAGTTGTGAACACCTTCTCACATGCTGCCATATATTCATTGACAAAGTCAGCATGTGCCATCTCTTCACTGGTTTCATCCAACACTTCCTCACAATGTTTGTACCATGCATGCTGGAGGGGGCCAAAAACACTGACATCCAGGGGCTGCAGCTCATGAGTGGTGTGTGGGGGAAGACAGAACTGCTCAATATTATGCTCAACTGCCAGGCGCTGCATCTCTGGTGTGACATGTGATCCATGGCCATCATAGATAAGGAGTATTGGTTTACCTGAAGTATCCCAGTGTGATGATCATACCAGCACTAGGTGTGTATGATGACTAGCACAGTTCTTGTGGAGAGTCTAGTTAAGACTCAGTAGAAGTTAATAGAACAATGCTATATTAATAAGTACCTAGTAAAGACTAGGTTACATGTGAGCGGGTGTGTCAACTACACAGTACAAGATGAGCTCACCTCAGTGAAAGTTAATAGAACAATGCTGAGGTGAGAAAAGGCACAAAGTGAGTACATATGGGTCTATGGAGGATATGTGGCTGAGTGGTGAAGGTGCTGTACAGTACATAGTAAGAGGCAAGAACAATGACATGTTGGGAATGCATGATTATGTCAACACACCCCCTCAGTGAGACACCAGCTGGAGACCAGGCAAGTGTTTCTCAAAGAGAGGACACAGGAGCACCTTGGTAAAAATGTCTGCAGTATTCATGTGTGAAGGCAGCCACTTAAGTAGGAATGTCCCCTTTTTGATATGCTCCCAGATGAAAAGATAATGAATGTCAATATGCTTCGACTGAATGTGGTTCCATGCCTCTGTTGATAGTGAGATTGCCCCAGTATTGTCCATGTAGATGTCATATGCCATTCTGGACTCTCAACTCTAAATTCACTTCTCCGGATATCTGGATCCAAGATCCAGTGTGGGAAACACAACAAGAAGAGAACTGAAAAGTAGACTTCTAATGTTGGGCTAAATGTGCTATGCCTAGCTGCTATTCAACCCTAAAGGGTTTCTGGACTAAGCTCAGTGCTCAGAGAGGATAGGAAATCATGCTAATGTACAATAGCTCTCCAATGAGCTTGCGGAATCTGCTGAGGAGGTTTTCAATATTAACATGCAAGTTAGCCCACTGTGGCCCCAAGACTGACCACATTCCAATACTAACCATCCTAGATCTCAAAACACCCTGGACTGAACTGACTCCTCATTGGAACTGGTGAGAGGTCGACTGGGAGACCTTCAACAAGCGCCTCAATGACATCATCTCTACCCACCCAGCTCAGCCCCTAGCATCCGATGAAGAATTCCAAGATGCGGCTTGCCACCTCACTCAGTCCATTACGACAACCATTGACAAATGTGTCCCATACTCAAAGCCTTGTCCTCACTCCAAAAGGTGGTGGAACCGATGCCTCACAGGACTAAGGAACAGGGTCATGCAACTCAGTAGGATATTGTATCAAATGCAAGGTCTCCCTCTTCACACCTCCCACGCAGAACTCAAGACCATCAAGAATCTCTATGTGACTGAGATCAAAGCTACCAAGAAGCAGCACTGAATTGAATGGCTTGAGGACATCGAAGGCAATGACTTGTGGACAGTCAACTGGTATATCTCTTTGGATCTAAGCAATGGAGGGAAGGCTCATGTTCCCACCCTCACAATGACCACTCCTGATGGCACCCTAGCCAAGGCCATTACTAACAATGAAAAGAGTCACATAATAGCTAAGTCCTTTTTTCCTCCCCCCCCCTCCCCATTACTGATACTGTCCTACCAGATGCTGAGTACCCTGACCCCATGGAACAGCCACCCCCCATCAACCCAGACCAGATTGCATGTACCATCACCCGCCTTAGTGGCTATAAAGCCCCAGGTCCAGATGGAATATGTAACATAGTTTTCAAAGAATGCGCAAGTATCCTCATACCCTATTTAACCCCACTCTTCAATGCTGTTTTCTCTCACTGTGTATACTACCAGCCCTGGCACTGCTTCACCACTGTTGTCCTCCAGAAGCTGGGCAAGCCCAGCTACTCTGTACCCAAGGTCTTTCGACCCATCGCCCTCCTCAACACGACTGGAAAACTACTAACTGCTGTTGTTGCCAATCAACTAACCCATGTCCTAGAACACCATTGCCTTCTCCCCAACACCCATTTCAGTGGTCATGTTAAGGTCACATGCTCAAGGGGGTCAGATCACAAGGGCTTGGCCTCAGCTTGTACACTGTGCCCCTTTCCCGAGTATGTGCCCTTAATTTCCAGGGGCTAGAACAGTCGTCTGGAGTTTCCAGGATTTGACTAGGGTGGACAACAGATGTCCAGATCTGAAACATGAGATAAATCCGATGGACGTCTGGATGTTACTTGGACAAGCAGATAAGACTAATCTGGACTAGAAACTAACAGAGGATAGACTACCTTAAGGTAGAGTCAGAAATGTAGTCTAGGATGCAATCCTAAGACTCGGAATATGACAAGAGACTTGTCTTGAGTCTGGAGGACACAGGAATGAGCAGGAACTAAGATGATATTTGAACTGGAGTATTTCCAAGAGTTACAGGAGGTTTATATACTGTAGGTATCATATAGGAATCAATCAGCAAACATAAAGGCTATGTACAAAGCATATGCAAAGTCTATTAGTAAGTAGGATGGATCACAAATAATGAACACCAGAAATGAAATGTATGTAATGGATCAATAATCAGAAGGGAAACATAGTTAACCGGAGTCTGGAGACAGGGGAAGTCTAAATGGGGTTGGGCACTGATATAAGGTTTGGATTCCAGAAGGAAGATAAAGATAGATCAGATCATTTGAGATCCAGAGAAGTGGATTTAGAGTTGAGAGTCTGGAATGGCATATGACAGCATCTCCCCCTTTAGGCCAAACCCTTGAGGCACAGGGGGTTGGAAATGAGGGTCCAGAAGAAATGAGTGCGAGATGATGGAGAAGTCAATGGGGGATTCCAGGGGACGGATTTCACAGATATAGTGTTGCCAAAGCATCCTATTTGATTCTTACCCCCCATATTCTTCCATCAGCTTATTCACTATGTCTAGCAACTCTTCCAATCAATCTAACAAACCCAAAACTGCCAGGGAGGAACTGGAACTGCATCAGGCCCAGATGAGGGCAGAATTAGCTGAAGTGGAGGCCAACATCCATCTGGCTGATGAAGCAGAAGAGTGCTGGAAGGCAGAAGAGCTCCGGAGGGCAGAGGAGCAGAAACATCAGGAGGATGAGGAGAAGAAGCAGAGGGAGTTGGCTGAGATCCAGAAGGAAAGGGCTGAGAAGGCCCGGAGGACAGAAAAGGTGAGTTTCCTGTGGTCTGGACTGGTCCAGAATTGAAAATGTGTTTGTCCTCACATGAAATATGATTTGGAGGCATGCAGGAACTGCATGACTAAGAGGAGGGACTGCTGTTGGGTTGAGGCTGGTAGTAGATCCACTGTAAGTGTCTATTTTCCAGACATCCAGATCCAGTATTTTGACATCCAGACAGATAAAGGCTTGTGATGCCTGCTGTTAAGGTCATACCCTTAGGGTTGGACTTGTGCATGTGGATACTGGTCTTGGAGTCCACCTGGGATTCAGGTACACCTGCTCCTATGACATTGGCATACTCTGACCCTAGACCATTGAGCTTCCATTCCCCCCAGATGTGATTAGCTTCTTCTGAAAGAGAAGCAGCAACAGTTGCAAAGGTCATTTTTGGAGCTGCAGCAGGTGCAGCAGAGCTCATTGTGCTGGTGGGAGTGGGGGAAGAGTTACTGTACATGGTCATGGTCATGCATTTGAAGATCATCCACTCCAGCATCTGTGGGAGACCTTGCAGGAGAAGGAAAACTGCCTCCCTGTCAGTGAAGGTGATTGCCATTTCTGCAAAGTGTTGTCTCATGTGTTTGAAGACGCTGATGTAATAGGAGACATAATCAGTGTCTTTGAGCTTCTCAGCAAATAACTGGGCTTGGAGCTCAAACTGTGAACTTATGTCAAGACATCCAAAATGCATGGAGAGTGTATTCCATTAGTCTTGGGCAGTGGATGACTTGCTGAGAAGTCCTTGGACTACTGGTGAGAGTTTCCTGCAAATGATTCCCTTTGTTTGTGTGTCTTCTTTGATCCAATCCATCATGGCTAGCTTCTCGGCTGCGGTGAAACTTCCAGCTGTTGCAGGCAAGGGCATCACAGATGTGTATTCTGCAAAGTCATTAGGATCGGTACCAGTGCTACAATGGTTCCATAACCTTTCACCTTGTAGCACAAGGACTACTCCACAATACCAGCTGGGATATTCATCTATGCTCATCAATTCAACAATGTGATCGTATTTTCCCATGGTAGA